GATATTAGCGACATATTGAAGCATAATAAACTCATCTCCCTTCCATATACCAACAAGAGTCAACAAAGGTAAGTGTGATGTTAAATGTTCATTTATCCATTTTATTAGTGCTTTATATTTATTTGTCATTGTTTTCTGTATGCATATCTATATTTAATCTTTAACCCTTCGACTGTTTCGGCTGTATATATACATCTTACGAGCCAGTGATTCGGACATACATGTATATATACTCAATAATTCTAATGGCTTCAAATCAAGCAGGAGAAAGCTGGTAGGCCCACATGTGAGAGAATGGGTTTGTGTGGTCAGTGTGCAATATAAAAAATCCTGCAGCACACAGTGCATGAGAGAAAAAGAAAAAAAAAGACCGTGTTTTTGTATTAAAACGCCGACTTTGAGGTGTATTTTCCTACAGTATTTATGGTTGTATTCTCGTTTTCTTTGTCTCATTTGATAGAATGGAAAACATATAACAGAAATAGAGATGATTTTGATTAGTTTCACGATGAAAACGACATTGAAATTGAGCTCAGAATAGCGGAAATGTTCGATTTTTACCAACGTTCAAGAGTAAGCAAATCACACCACACATCCAATACACGTCAACTGGGGAGTCTAATATTCTTTCACTAGTGCACTGATATTATTTATACTATTTTTACAACAATGCAGTAGTCTGCGTAACAGTAAATCTTCTGTTTTTTGTGTGAATAAAAAATCAAAATAGAAAGCAAGAGTAATATAAGAGGGGCCTGGAGGCATGACTGATGAACAGAGAAAATGTTATTTTACTGACAAGAATGTCTGCAGTGTTCATTCTGGACCCTATTTTGAATTTGGCATCTTTTTTAATTTGCATGAAATTGGCCAAATTGCCAATTTCTGACCATTTTATTGGGTAGTTGAAATCAGTAAATGGGCAGTTTCTTGTACTCAACTGATAGAAAAAATGGAGTTCTAAAGAAAAAGCTATGAGTTTGGTTGACTGGAACAATGGAACTGGCCGAAAATAGGGCTCAAATTCGGCGAAATCGCCGATGAGCATATATTGCCAAGATGTTAACTTCACGGGAGCGTAATTCCGCAAGTTTTCGATCAAATTTCATACATTTGGTGTTATTACCATCAGGAAAAGAGTCTCTATCATTTCACAAGAATTTTTTTTTTTTTTTTTTTTTTTTTTTCAAAAAATTTTCGGCACCAGGAGACACTTCAGGATTTGGGGTTACGACAGTCAAAGGGTTAAAAAAAAATATTTTTTGTTAATACTTTTGGCTGTCTGAAACGGATTAATTGGATTTCCATTATTTCTTACGGGGAAAATTAATTCAGCTAACGGCAAAATCGGTTAAAGGCAAGCTCTCTAGAACAGATTAATGCCATTACCCGAGGGTCCACTGTATACTGTTTATTATGTCATATTAGATCAATTATGATAGGGATATAAGCCGTAGTGTTGCTATTAGCATAATAATAAAGCATATTCCCCTGCATCACAAGACTGAGCTCATGGCAACCAACAGTGACTTCAAAGCCACCTTATCTTTTATGGCCAATGTACTGTGTATGTGCTTTACACAGTGAGAACATTTCTTTTATTCACTTTAACCATGGCTAGGGCTAAAAGTAAGCAGGTTATAACAATACATGTTTTTTTTTTTTTTTTCAACAAGTTGGCCGTCTCCCACCGAGGCAGGGTGACCCAAAAAAAGAAAGAAAATCCCCAAAAAGAAAATGCTTTCATCATCATTCAACACTTTCACCACACTCACACATAATCACTGTTTTTGCAGAGGTGCTCAGAATACAACAGTTTAGAAGCATATTTCGTATAAAGATACACAACATATCCCTCCAACTGCCAATATCCCAAACCCCTCCTTTAAAGTGCAGGCATTGTACTTCCCATTTCCAGGACTCAAGTCTGACTATATGAAAATAACCGGTTTCCCTGAATCCCTCACTAAATATTACCCTGCTCACACTCCAACAGATCGTCAGGTCCCAAATACCATTCGTCTCCATTCACTCCTATCTAACACGCTCACGCACGCTTGCTGGAAGTCCAAGCCCCTTGCCCACAAAACCTCCTTTACCCCCTCTCTCCAACCCTTTCGAGGACGACCCCTACCTCGCCTTCCTTCCCTTAATTTATTGCTTTCCATGTCATTTACTTTGATCCATTCTCTCTAAATGACCAAACCACCTCAACAACCCCTCTTCTGCCCTCTGACTAAAATTTTTTATTAAACTCCAAAACCTTTTCCTAATTTCCACACTCCGAATTTTCTGCATAATATTTACACCAAACATTGCCCTTAGACAGGACATCTCCACTGCCTCCAACCATCTCCTCGCTGCTGCATTTACCACCCAAGCTTCACACCCATATAAGAGTGTTGGTACTACTATACTTTCATACATTCCCTTCTTTGCCTCCATAGATAACGTTTTTGACAATACATGTATATGGAGGAAAAGAAATTGGAATGACTTATGCAGCAAGTAGTACCACCCAACAGTACCAACAGGTTGGTGTGGCGACCCTGGAAATTTGAAATTATGCTAGTCGAAATTAGTGCTGAATAACTGATGGAACGGGATGCCTGATTGCCGGATTTGTGATGGCGAACCTGCATTCAGTCTTCACAGTCTGGAACACAAAATATTAACCTGAATCTTGTCCTTCAAATGATATAGTACAGTGGTCCCTCAATAATCGACCGGCCTGAAAGTCGTCCATTTCGGAAATAGTCCTGTTTTTTCGTCAAAATATTGGCTCGCAAATGGTCCAGTAACTCGCTAATAGTCCTAATAGTCCTTCGTCCCGGACGCGTACTCACGCTCTGAGCCGCCTCGGCCTTTCCTTCCCAGCCAGTGTGCCACTGTTTACCAGTGAGTGACGGTCCCCTCACATGCTCCTACGAAATATTTCATAATATTCCATTGATTTTAGTGCTTGCAAGTGCTAAATAAGCTACCATGGCTCCAAATAAAGCTTCTAGTGCCACCCTTTGGTAAAGAATGTGAGAAACAACATTTATGAAAAATTTTTGTAGAAAAATAAAAAGATGGTGGTGGTAGAGTGGAAGCAGTTGTGATAGTGGTTGATGAACATAAGAAAGGAGGATCACTGCAGCAGGCCTGTTGGCCCATGCTCGGCAGGGTCCTTTACAATTCATCCCACTAACGAAACATTTTCCCAACCCAGTCCTCAATGCTACCCAAGAAATAAGCTCTGAAAAACTCTATCCACTCATTTGCAAGTCCCAAATGAGTGGATAGACTTATCAGAGCTTATTTCTTGGGTAGCATTGGGACTGGGTTGGGAAAATGTTTCGTTAGGGGGATGAATTGTAAAGGACCTGCCGAGCATGGGCCAACAGGCCTGCTGCAGTGATCCTCCTTTCTTATGTTCATCAACCACTATCACAACTGCTTCCACTCTACCCCCACCATCTTTGTATTTTCTACAAACTTTTTCATAAATGTGTTTCTCACATTCTTTACCAAAGGGCTGGCACTAGAAGCTTTCTTTGGTGGGAGTGATGGTGGTAGAAGGTAGTAGTGATGGTGGGTAACATTGTAATAGTGGTAGAAAGTCATAGTGATGGTGGTAGTGGGTTCCTTCTTAGTGATTCAGTGATTCTACCAACTCCTCCAATGTTGTTTTGGGTTTTTATAGGGCTACAAAAACCACCGCCGACTCAGCTGCTGCTTCACCACCATTATGGACGGCTTTCACTCAGTGGCCCTTATATACCCAACAAACACACAACAAAAACACCTCTCGTGACATCCGTAATGACTTATTTTATTCATTCTAGAGTATATTCCATGTTTCTATGTTATTAATATTGTTTATTATGTCATATTAGTTGAATTGTGATAGATAAATAAGCCATAGAGTTGATATTAGTGTCATATTCTCCAACAATAAACTTGCCATCCCTCCCTCACACAAACAAATAGCCAATAAGAACATAACAATGGAAGAACACTGCAGGTTTACTGGCCCATACAAGGCAGGTCCTTATAAAAATGACCTCCACCCAAAGCTACCCAAGAATTTACTCCCGTACCCAATGACACAAATCAAACTCAGCTCCTCCAACTTGTATATTTGTCCAATCTCTTCTTAAAGCTTCTTAAAGCCTTGATCACCCTACTGGTAAGTGTGATGTTAAGTAAGAACTTAAGAAAGTAGGAACACTGGAACAGGCCTGCTGGCCCATACTAGGCCGGTCCTTCACAAATCCAACCCACTAACAGAACAAATGTTACCCAAGCAATAAGCTCAGGTGCAAGTCCGACTCAAATCCAACCCCTTTCACTTGGGTATTTATCCAGCCTAAATTTGAAACTACCCAAGCCATAGCTTTTAGAACATTGGAAAGGAGGAACACTGCAATAAGCCTGTTGGCCCATACTAGGCCGGTCCTCCACAAATCCAATCCACTAACAGAACAAATGCTACCCAAGCAATAAGCTCAGGTGTAAGTCCGACTCAAATCCAACCCCTCTCACTCGTGTATTTATCCAACCTAAATTTGAAACTACCCAATGTTTTAGCTTCGGTCATCCTACTAGGCAGACCATTCCACTCATCAAACTACCCCTATTTTCCAATGTTCATTTATATATTTTATTAGTGCCCTGAGTCCTTATGGAGGGGGATTCCCCTTCCAAATAACCTCTTTTTCCCTCTCTCCTCCTCCCTGTCTTCCATTCATCAACAACAGCCTTCAACAAAGGTAACTGTCATGTTGAATGTTCATTCTTTTGTGCATGTAAATCTATCTTTTAGGTAAAAAAAAAATTTTTTTGTTGATACTTCTAGGTGTCTGGAACGAATTAATTGGATTTACATTATTTCTTATGGGGAAAATTGATTCGAAAATCGTCCATTTCGATAATAGTCCCACTTCCAGGAACAGATTATGGACGATTATTGAGGGACCACTGTATTCAATAAAAAAAATCACATTTATACCCACCCTTATAGCCTTAATCATGCCAATGTGTGCTGCTCCTCTTGCTCCTCCACCACCAAGGACAAGCCCCACAGTAGTGCCTGTCAAAACTCGAGCAAGACGTGAAAAATCACTGTGAACATTAGGAGGAGTTGTGAAGACTTTTTCTGTGTAGTACTCAATCTGAAAAAAGTACATAATTAAAAACACAATCAATTACGAAATCTGTGTGAAATATGCTTCCAAAGATTTATAATCTGGAGAAGACATGAATGTCTTAATTGTCAGTATATCACACAATCCATCTGCATTCAGACGACCTTGTACTTTTCAGTCTAGGATGAGAACAATCATCTTGGTAAACTCACAATTTTTGCAGGAGGCCTCTTCTGAAACATACGCTTTCGTGCTCGGATGTGGTGATGAGACTGACACCATGATCGCATGTTGAGCCACTGTACAGTGCCTGATGGAGGTGGGCCATCCTCACGATGAAGTAGAATTAGCACCTTCTGTGTCCTTACTGCCATTTTCTCAACATGCTTTTCAATCTGTGAACCAGCCAAAACAAATAATTATTATCTAAAATTAGAGTACTGAAGTATGGAAGAATGATTCAGTAACAGGACCTTTTACAGGGAACTGAACATTCAAATGCAAGTATCTACAGTGTACTTTATCTGAGAAAGTACAACATGAAGTATATTACTGGAAAAAATAAAGAATACAAAATGACTATCTTTACACATTCAGTATGGACATAACTGTTCCAAACAAGGTATATAATGCCAACAAATATACAAGATACTTATGGTAACTTCACTATGGAAATATTTCACCCACCCAGAACTTTAATAATCCATTATAAATAGAAATTAGTTACCTAGTATTGTATAAGTGTCATTTTATACATGGATATGCTCATTTAATGGAACAAAATTAGCAAATAATCAAAAAATCCTTCAGGAATATTCTTCTTCTTTCAACAAATTGACTGTGTTCCACCAAAGCAGAGTGGCCCAAAAGAAAAAACAAAAGTTTCTCTTTTTAACTTTAGTAATGTATACAGGAGAAGGGGTTACTAATCCCTCACTCCTGGCATTTTAGTTAACTCTTACGACACATATGGCTTACAGAGAAAGAATTCTGCTCCACTTTCCCATGGAGATAAATGGAAAAAAACAAGAACGAGAACTAGCAAGAAAATAGAAGAAAACCCAGACGTGTGTTTACGTATATGCTTGTACATTCAAGTGTAATGTGACATAAGTGCAAGTAGAAGTAGCAAGACGTACTTGAAATCTTGCATGCTCATGAGACTGACAAAAGACACCAGCAATCCTACCATCATGTAACACAATTGCAGGCTTTGGTTTTACACTCACTTGGCAGGATGGAAGTACCTCCTTGGGCAGTTGCTTCAGGAGTATTATTATTATACAGTGAACCCTTGGGTAATGGCAGTAATCCATTCCAGAGAGCTTGCTTTTAACAGATTTTGCCATTAGCCAAATTAATTTTCCCCATAAGAAATAATGGAAATCCAATTAATCCGTTTCAGACAGCCAAAAGTATTAACAAAAAAATATTTGTTGGTGGGTGAGAGGAGAGAGTTAAATATAGATATAACATACAGGAAAATAATACAAATAAATATAAAGACACTAATAAAATGAAAATGAAATAATGCAGTGGAGAAGGAGACGATTTATTATGTAATCAATATGTAGTGCTGAATATCTTTCTAACGGACCTATTTATCTATCACAATTCATCTAATATGGAATAATAAACACTATTAATAACATGAAACAATAAATTCTACTGTCACTAACTCGAAAATAAATAAAATATGTCATAATGTATGTGAGGAGTAAGTGGTAGAAGTGTTGTTGTTGGGTTTATAAGGGCCACTGAGAGAATTATTATTATTATAATCAAAAAGAAGCGCTAAGCCACAAGGGCTATACAGCGCTGCAGGGTAGGGAAGGAAGCCAGGGTATTGGATGGCAGAAGGGAGGAGGGATGATCAGTAGGTTACAGAAAACAGCGGGGCAGGGGATAGTACGGGGGTAGAGGGTAGCAAGAGATTGAAGTAGAAAGGGCTGAAGGTATCAGAATTTGTGAAGTAAGTCAGTTGTTGTCAAAAAGTCAATGAGAGAGTCCGGATGAAAGGTGGTCCATCACGAGAAGGGAAGGTAAAGAGAGAGCAGCGGAGCGAAGACGACGATGGAGGTAAATTCTGCGAGCTCGTTGATAAAGTGGGCAGTCCAACAGAATGTGGCTGACTGATAATGGAGCTTGGCAATTCTCACAGAGAGGAGCAGGGCACCTCTCCATGAGATATCCATGAGTAAGACGAGGATGGCCAATGCGAAGACGGGAGAGAGTAGTCTCCCAAACTCGACACTGGTGATAAGAAGACGGCCAGTAACCTATACTTGGTTTAATAGATTGAATTTGTTGCCGAGCATAGTAGACCAACGGTGTTGCCAACGGTATGAAGGTGGGAAGATATTGCAGCAAAATAGTCCTGTAAATGGAATACCTCTATATGAAACTGGTAGGTCATGTACTGCTGACCGCGCAGCAGTGTCTGCCTGTTCATTGCCCTATACGTCAACATGACCAGGACCCAACAAAAAACAATATCTTTATGCTTGTAAAGATGCGGCGTAGCCAAAGTTGGATACGGAGGACTAAGGGTGAGGTGTAACAAATTTCTGTATAGCCTGTAAAGCACTAAGGGAGTCTGAGACAACCACAAATGTGACACAGGCATAGATGCAATAGGGATAAGTGTTTGCAAGATGGCATACAATTCAGCAGTAAAAATACTAGCCGAAGATAGTAAATGCCCTCGTACGATGCTGTCCGGAAACACTGCTGCAAAATCCTACGCCGTCAGAAGACTTAGAGCCATCTGTGTACACAGCAATGGCATGAGAAATAGAGTGAAAGTGGTCAAGAAAAAGAGAGCGGGAAGCAACCGTAGACAGTTGGGCTTTTGAGCAAGGGAGAGAGAAAAGAACAGGCTCGAACAGCTGAACTTCCAGGGGGTAGGAAAAGGAGATGCTACAAAACATAGAAAGTGTAATGAAAGAAGACAGAGCGAAAAGCGAAGAGAGAAAGGCCATGAGAAATCGTACATGTGTGGTGGAGGTGAGGCACCACAGAACCACACACTGTTCAAAACCTTAACCTTTCAGGTCAACAGGCCAAATTTAAAGTGTCCAGGTCCAAGAACTTTCAAAAAATTTTTTATTTTTTCTTATGAAATGAGATCTTTCTGAAGTAAAAAACAAAAAGTACGAAATTTGATGGAAAAATTGATGAAATTATGCTCCTGCGAATTTTGATGTTCAGTGATATTACGCATCGACGATTTTCCCAAACTTTGACTCCCATTTGACCAATTCCCTTTATCCAGCGACCAAAATTTTTACTATTTCACTAGTATTCTTCTATTCTTTTCGACTGAGCACAAGAATGCCAAACTCAACTTTTGCAACTACAAAATAAAGTGATCGGAAGTTGAATGGCCAAATTTAGTGCAAAGTTCAATATTCCAAGTTCAAATAGTGTCCAGATATTACAAGCACAGCATTTGCCAACTAAACTAACATTTGCACTGTTCATTAGTTATGTTTTAGCTTTACAAATGAATCCATTTTGACTTTTAATTCACATAATAAATTTTTATTCCAAACAAAAATGAAATATTTACTGTCATGCAAATTATAAGGTTGGAGAGGGGGTAAAGAGTTTTGTTGCGAGGCTGGAACTTCCAGAGCATGCATGAGGTGTTGAATAGGATGATGGAGACAAATGGTTTATAATACTTGACGTGCGTTGGAGTGTGAGCAAGTAACATTTATGAAGGATTCAGAGGAAACCGAGGCCGACTTGAGTCCTGGAGATGGGAAGTACAGTGCCTGCACTCTGAAGGAGGGGTGTTAATGTTGCAGTTTAAAAATGTAGTGTAAAGCACCTTTGGCAAGACAGTGATGGTTAATAGATGTGAAAGTTTTTCTTTTCGGCCACCCTCCTTGGTGGGAATCGGCCAGTGTGATAATAAAAAAAAAAATATTGTAATAATTGTATAAATAACATCAGCACATTTGTGAACGTATATTAGACCCACCACCTGGCGTGTATTAGACACGTGAGGTCATTTGTTTACTCTTGAACATCGGCAAAAATTTAACATTTCCGCTACTTTGAGCTCAGTTTCAAGCCATTTTCCGTACTAAAACTAATCAAAATCATCTCTATTTCTGTAATATATCTTCCATTCTATCAAATGAGACCAAGAAATCGCAAATACAACTAAAAAAACATACGAAAAAACACTGCAATGTTGCCGTTTTAATAAAAAATTACGGTGTGCTCGGTTTTGTTTATGCACTGTGTGCTGCAGGATTTGTTTTATGTGGTGCACACACATCATGTACATGTATTCTCTCGTATTCAGGACAAAATTTACCGCTCACAGCTTATCAGAGTGAGCCGAGCTCATGGCGTAGATCTACGGTTTGGACCCTCAACGTAAAGCCGTAGATCTATGGCACAGACCCTGAAAGGGTTAATGTATGTAATGTATGTAAAGTACCTAGGATAACCCAAAAAAGTCAGTGAGACTTATTTCCATTGGGGTCCTTTTATAATTACACTTATATTTAGTTTTATACTTACACTTTTATTTATACACATTCATCTGAGTTTTCTTCGATTTTATGTTAGTTCTTGTTCTAATTACTTTTCCTTTTATATCCATGAGGAAGTGGAATAAGAATCTTTCCTCCGTAAGCCATGCGTGTTGTAAAAGTCAACTAAAATGCAAATGTTGTGCAAATGATAAGAAAATGATTGTGGATGTTATGAATGAGAAGAAACTGGATATCCTGGCTTTAAGAGAAACAAAGCTGAAGGGGGTGGGAGAGTTTCAATGGAGAGGAATAAATGGGATTAGGTCAGGGGTTTCAAATAGAGTTAGAGCTAAAGAAGGAGTAGCAATAATGTTGAAGGATAAGCTATGGCAGGAAAAGAGGGACTATAAATGTATTAATTCAAGGATTATGTGGAGTAAAATAAAGGTTGGATGTGAGAAGTGGGTTATAGCAAGCAATTATGCACCTAGGGAAGAGAGAAGTATAGAGGAGAGAGAGAGATTTTGGGAAATGTTGAGTAATTGCGTGGGGAGTTTTGAACCAAGTGTGAGAGTACTTGTGGTTGGGGATTTTAAAGATAAAGTGCGAAAAAATGTTGTGGAGGGAGTAGGTAAATTTGGGGTGCCAGGGGTAAATGAAAATGGGGAGCCTTTAATTGAGCTATGTGTAGAAAGAGATTTGGTAATAAGTAATACATATTTTATGAAAATGAGGATAAATAAATATACAAGGTATGATGTAGCACGTAATGAAAGTTTGTTAGATTATGTATTGGTGGATAAAAGGTTGATGGGTAGGCTCCAGGATGTACACATTTATAGAGGGGCAACTGATATATCGGATCATTATCTAGTTGTAGCTACAGTTGTCAGCATAG